GCAACATGTAGGCTCTGACGGGAAACACAACCAAAGAGTTCGAAAGTGTGTCCATCAGAGACTGTCGTCCTGGGTTAATTGATTTGAAGGTAACTTCATAGGAAAACACCCATGAGCAAGCACGCGCTCAGAACCTACACCACGATATGACGTAGCAATGCCCGCCGCGTACGAGCATGCACATCACCATGGCTGCAGGCCAAGGCACATGTCAATAACTAGCTGAGATGATGTTAACAAGATGTCATACTCCATGAGGTCTTGGCTTACCGAAGGCCAGCTTGAAAAGGCTGCCAACAACTTGAACATCTGCAGACGAAGGTAAACACACTTCATCCACGATTCGCCCAAAATCCACTGCAAATTTCATGAGATTTGCTCAAGATCCCAACAACGTCAGACCAACCGTCATGCAGACAAAGGGCCATACTGCCTGGACTATCTTCCAAAGACTATCCTGGCTAACAGATACGCTCTCCTATTGCTCGATACTTTCGCAGCGTAGGGACTAGCACTTAACAACGGCTTCACAGGATCACTGTGAAACGTTCAGTCAAAGGACTAGGATGCAAAGACATGACCAACCTCGTCCATGCCGAAGGGGTCCGGAACCAAAGGAAATAAAAGCGATTCAGCTTATCTTATATGCAACGGTACCTAGCCTTAGGGCAGGTCAGAAACACCGGACCCCGGCCCAAAATACTTGATATGGGGCATTTTCACACTAACTGATGACGGAAAAAATATAAATTACGAAAAAATATATCTAAAGCTCATCTCTATCGCGGTGACTTGGTCCATAAAATGCCTCGGCAAGTTCTACGAGATGCAATCAAAACGATGAACAATACCACGGCAAGGTTGAAATATCACTTACTTCGACGAATGTCTGAGTGGAGTTCAACAGGTAACACAACATTGTACTCTATAAAGAGGTCGCCGACACTGTCTGTCTGATACAAGGGCATCCCCTCGCCCTCTATGGTTTGAACATGACCTATGATTAAGTTGAACACCACCCTCATTGGCTGGACAAATAAACGATAACAGCTCACCAGGTTGGGTCACTCCTTGGCGATCTATCTCGATGACGTGACCATCGAGATGCGTGATATTGCGTTGGAATCCGAGGAGTGCCTATAATTCAAGTAGGCATAATAAATTATCGGAGACGGCGGCATCAATTGGGCTTACCTGGTCAATACCAATGGTCTCCCGCCAGTACAGGCTGCTCTCCTTCCGTCGCCAAGCACCTTTCTCCTTCTTACTTCGTACTCTCAAAACAACGTCGCCGGCCTCCCAGTCCGGACTCTCATCTCCCTCTCCATCAAATACAACATCAAAGCCTTCTGGTGTACCTGGTTTCAACTCTAAAGTATACTGTTGCGTGTGCTCGACCACCTTCTCCCCTTTGCAGTGTGGACATTGTTTCTTGATAATTCTTCCACGGCCACCGCAATCGTTACATGTTGACTGCGTCTGTGCAAACATGCCGGGGAATATTTGCTGCTTGAAGGTTTTCACGCCAGATCCACCACATCCTGAACAAGTATGAATGTCACCGTCCGATGCAGCGCCCGAGCCGCGACAGTGGTCACAAAGTATCTTTTTCCTCATCGTGAACTATTGTGGGTGAAGAGTCAATTCAACTGAGTAACGATGCGAAAGGCCAAGTCAAGACGAACGTCAATATTGGCACCCATATACCTGCGCGGCTCATCAGTTAACCATTGCAGAAATGCGGGGATGAGCTTACATGTCTGCAAGTGAAACCTCGAAATCGATTATAACAGTTTGTCCACGACGCACTTGCTGCTGTGTATTGACTACATACTGATCAGCGCAAAGAGGTAGCGGCAAGGAGCTGTAAACCCACAAGCACCACCGAAAACGTTGGAAAATATATCGAAAGGATTGGCGTGATGTTGTTGTCCACCTTCGTGCGCTTTCAACCCTTCCTATAAGTGAAACGCGTGTTCATATCCGAATGAATACATAATGAGTTGATGCTAGACTCACTTCACCATGCCTATCATAAATTTGGCGTTTCTGAATAATTTTGAGCAGACTATAAGAAAGGCTTGAGACTGTTGCGCACCGTGGAATCTGAAAGGACTTCGTATGCTAATGCAGTATCATGAGGATGCTATTCTGTGGAAACGGGTGCAACTTAATTTACCATGAGCGATATCAACAAACTTCTCCTCTGCCCCTGGATCCGTATTTTTGTCGGGATGATACTGCTTGCTTAACCGCTTGTATGCTTTACGGATATCCTGCTCCGATGCATGTTTGGACACTAAATGCCGAGTATATCAGTCAGACGCGAGTCAAGACCAGTTGGTACACGCCTTGGACTGACGCTCAAGAATTTTGTATAAATCGGTTGCGCTGACAAGAACAGCAAAAAGTAGCCATAGAATGGCTACGTATGAAGCCAAGTGCATTGCGGACCGAGGCCTTCGAGTAAGGGAGGGGGACAGAAGTTTGACGGCAAGATGCATTTTCAATTAAGTTATAGTACACGTATATCGCACAAGGGTCACGTGGCATATAGCCGACTTTCCTTTTCCGGGGAGCATGGTCATTGACATTGCACGGTTTAAAAGCTTTTTTGTCCAGGAGCACTGATGCTGCAACGACGAGTAGGGGTTATTGCGCGTGATCTCAACCGCACGTCTTCTCCGCGAAGCTACTCACAAATTATACCGCAATATCACCCAAAAGTCAGAGGTCGCCTGCATTCATCTCGTACCCGCTACAGTCTGCTGACTGGCATGTTTCAGCTATTCCATTCGCGTTTTCAAAGGAGGCTGCTATCAGACATGTTGGTGTAGCTGCTTCCGCAGGTTGCTTCTTCCGCGATTTTGTTGGGTCGCTCGGTGCAAAGTATATAGGTGGAAACTTTCAGCCAATTCAACCCATCCGCATTCAACCTGTCTATTTTCCTGCTTGGTTCTTGGATGCAGAAGTCGAGTCATACTTGACTGATGAAGATGACGAACGGCAGGTATATTCAAGCACCTCTTCCTGCTACATTTATTCAAGCGGGAGCATTGCAGCGAATCGTGACCGCGTATTTCAACGACTGGTACACTAGTTCATTTATCAAACTCCTTCTAAGTTAACAAATCGCCTATAGTTACTTACCAGGTACAATCTTCCACACCAGGCATGCCAGCGAGGTTAATCACTTTCATAAGGCGCTACATTTGGCCTGCTTGCGAGGCTTGCTCTCCGAAATGACCAAGTAGAACCTGCCTTGGCCGTTCCATTTTCTCAGCGCCTCACACATCAACACGGTTCTGATGTTATATGCATGCCTTACACTATCAGTCCACTCGACGTTATTAGCAGTACACGGTCTTCGTCCTTCACTCAGGCTACTAGTGATGAAGATGCGCGTTTTGAGCCACGCTTCATAAAAACCAATATAGTATGTCATTTCACCTGATGCATCCTTTTCCCCCTCACCCCAGAAAAGGAAGCTGCCTACCCAGTCCTAATACCGCTTTATCTGGTTCAATTCCCAATGGTCCAACCATTTGAGTCCACGTTCGTCATAGAAGCATACAGTCAACCCGTATGTCTTTTAAAAATCGAATTCCATAATACTGACGATATCCTACATCCAAGGATCGGTTTTTCATCCAAGTTTCCAATGCTCCCGAACTACCAGAAGAACAACGGTTTGACTTGGAAAAATATATTGGTTATGACTACTTGTTTTTAGGCGATACTCCATCATCTCATGCGAAGACTCGAGTCCTCGCTCCAAAGTATGATAGAAACGCATCTGAAAGTGTTGCATCGTGGTTCGACGGAATATTTAGCGAGCCTGGTGGTGCAGAGAAGCTGATACACCCGAAGGGAGCAGTAGGTGTTAACGTGCATATGGATGACCCCAGGGTACGCGAGTGGACTCCTGAAGAGGTCAACTCGATTCGGGAGTGGATGAATCAGGGGCAAGCTATTGTCCAGTTGAAAGATGTGGTTAAGGTTCGCTATCAGCCCGAGTTTAGATTCATATACTCATCCGTGATTAGAATCTTACTTCTATTGAGGACCAGATGCAAAGTGGGTCTGTCAAGGTGATTCAGTGGCCCTCTTCAGATCCCAAGCAGGGATCACAGAATGCCCCTGCTTTCTTGGAGGCTTTCATCAAGGCGGAGCTCGACAAGCTCCAAAAGCTGGAGAAGTCCCGTGCCGACACGGCACCGGAGTGGTGGCGACGGAAGAGAGGAGAAACAAACGTTAAAGAAGTGAACATAGCACTCTAGTATTTTGTTGATATTCACCCTCAGCGTATCAGTCCTTGAATCTTCACAGAATCGTGGATTACGGAGAAGCCAGGGCCCCAAGCACTCACGCAGGGATCGCGCCAGGCCTCACCTATACACTATTTGCCAATGAATCTGCTTATCTTACTATCAACCTTGAAAACTCCACTGCATGTTCGCATACGCCGGGAGAACATTATGTATCAGACACATCTTACTTAGTGAAATCGTTTATTCCCGAGGGTCGAGTTCGACTCGTATTCTGTTGCGTATGTGTGAGCGGCGTAGCCCTCTAGATCTGATACACAATATCTGGACGTGCGTAGCACAGACCTATACAGCAAGCAACGTCATAGGGGAAACCCCGATCAATCATGTGGTGCGACCACGACAATCCCAGGACAACTGGCGCGACAAATAAAAGTTGCCTGCAAATCTCGAATTCTACTAGTCACTAGGGCTGCTGGTGTAATTCAAGAACATTGGCACATCTATTCCTGCAGATTTAGAAAAAAGTTCACCGGACTAAGGGTCAGACTGAGCGACGGGCTGAGCATTACGTAGAATCACAAGTATCCAGATATCTCATCAGGGTGATAGTGTCGTTCCACGATGCACATTGTCAGATAAGACACAAGTGCAGCACAATATGTATGTTTCATTCATAACACAAATGATGCAAAGTTACAAGTTTCGCAGTGAGACACGATATAGCTGCTCCCAACTTCCATTCCATGAAATCCAACAGACATGTAAGATAAACCAAGCGCTATGGTGAGGTACGATAGCCACGTCCAGCGTGCAATAAAGATAACCCAATAAGCATACAGAAGCAAGAATGAAAAGAGAGGCGAATGTTCAAAAGGAATGTCGATAATAGAATGAAATGAGTGTAGTTAGTCGAAGAGAGAATATCCAAAAGGAATGTCGGTAATATGATGAAACGAGTGTCGTTAGCCGTAAAGAGAATATTCAAAAGGAATGTGGGTAAATGAATGAAACGAGTGTTGTTAGACGTAAAGAGAAGTTGTTTCAGGAATCGCAGTTAACACTAGAGCACGCAAATAAGGAGTAACATTAGCAGCAGCGACATATGCGGGGTAAGGGGGACGTACATATTCAGGCAATATCCTAGGTCGTGTTCTTCGCAGGAACGATATACCCAGAAACCGACTTGATCATCGCTTGGGGACAGAATGCGTACTTCCAATGCTCAGCGTGGGCTCTGCTATTAAGCAATGGTTTGCACGTCTTCTGATGCCGAGCCGCAGCATCGGTCCTCGACGACAGCTTCTGGCAATAGGGGCATCGGTAGGATGTAGCGAAGTGGACCCCATCGATGTGACGGCCCAATTTTTGCATCGCCTGTGGGTCCGGGCAATCTTCGAATTTGCAGGGAGTTTCTTTCCTGGCTTCAACACCATGCCAAAACCACAGGTGGTCTTCGATCCGGGCCTTGTTCACCTCTATGAAAAGACCGCACGGCTGGTCGGTCCAATCGCATGAGCGTACGCAGGTCAGTTCTGGTGAGGAGTCCTTCGTAACGTTGCCCGATCCATCGGGGTAATGATCATCCAGTTCCATCGCCCCAAATCTCCTCGTTCGAAGGAGATTACCGTTAGGATCATGGGTCCTGCGGCTGCTAATGTCGACAGGCTTTGGGTCGTGAAAAGGCATGGCCATGACCGTGGCGCTGGCGTCCGCTAGCATGTACGGACCAAACTTGCCTGGTCTGCAGTCATCGGTGGCATTCGGGCGTCTGCGCTTGCGCGTTGTTGGTTCAACAGACGAATTCAAGCCATCCTCAAATTTAGAGGTCTGGCGGGTTCTACGTTTGCGAGGCCTAGCAGATGCCGTCCCGTCGAGAGCAGAGGAAGTTGGCTCCATGCTTGAGCCCCCGCTAGATGTCAACTGCAAGAGAGCATATTGACCTTGGGGGAATGCCGCAGTTGGGTGGTACGCGTTGGACGGACCCGGGATGTCATGAGGTTGCTGGTAAGGGTAGGGGGGAGCGGGATGATAGCCATACTGGGGCGGTGCTGGAACGACCGCAGAGGGCTGCGAATGATACGCACCAGGGGGTCCATTGACATCATATCCAGGATTATATTCAGGCTGGGGCCATGCGTAGCCTTGTGGCGGTGCTGGGGCGACCGGGGGTGGCTGCAAATAATACGCACCAGGAGGTCCATTGGCATGATATTCAGGATTATATCCATGCTGGGATAATACGGGGCCTTGAGGTGCGACAGAGGGCTGCAGATAATACGCGCTTAGAGGCCCGTTCATGAAGTAGCCAGGGTTATATTCATGCTGGGGCCATTCATTGCCTTGCGGGGGCGCTTGAGGGACAGTCTGCGGAGGGTAGTAGAGCTCCTGATCGATGTGGGACAACTGAGGGAGATCAGCCACCGGGGCGGTGAAATTCTCCAATGTCGGAAACGACGCCTGAGGATTTTGAACAAAGTGTGAATAGTCCCAAGTCCTGAAAAACTAAATAAGTAATGGTAATGGCGAGGACTCAGTTGCGAGTGCACATACCCTTGTGGCGCCACTGGTAATTCGTTATAGTTTGATCTGTCGTTGGACGTGAGTTGCTTGACCCAGGTGGTAAGCTAATTAGATTGACTGACCCATGATCATAAGCATCGGCTGGGCCTGCCAGCGCATTTTCGTTAACCATTAATTCCTCGCCGTATTTAAACAATCTGTCGGAGACCGTGAGTTCGAGTAAATGATTTGAATGAGGTAGAGCCACGTACACATCCAACTGGGCGCGCACTTCGGGAGACGTCTCATCGCTTTGGTGAGCCGCGATCAACTTGGCTGTGTCTTCTTCGGACAACGGAACGAAATCGAAGTCACCAGGGAGTGGCACGCGGTCATCCGACACAGTCAGAGACTCGCTAAGAAAATGATGAGATGAAGCACGTCATCGAGCTCGAGATTAAACACAAACCTATCGAATGGCGTTTGAAGGTTGTAACACGAGGAACTAGATATGAAAGACATCGTTAGCATACAAAGATATTGATCTGATGTGCGAGTAGGCTCACATAGACATATCAAATAATTGAATAAGTAAAGAGGCTAAGATAAAGAGATGCAGTTGGAAAGAAGATGAGAGAAGTAGAGCAGAGAACGACGCCGATTTTATACCTCACGACAGGCGGGGAAACGATAGACAAAGCACGACTGTGGTCGTGCATCAAAGCCATCCATCTGGCATTATCCCCCGACATCACGTTGTGAAAAGGCAAGCGTCTGTGGGCACTTCCCTATAGTAGAAGCGCCTGTGGAATTCACTTCTTTGTAGCATCACGCGTGCATCAGTCCACAAGAACACAAACATGCACTGACCCTTGATAAACTTAGAATGTGATGATCAAGGGAGTGCCCGTACTTCTCCACCAGAGGGTGACATCACATGTGGAGAAGTACAACTCCGATCAGGATTCAATTATGGGAACAACAGTATTCTCGCGGACTCAGTGCATCGTCGCGGCACACTCGACCACAACCCAACCATGAACTTTGGCAGCGGCACCTATTCAAGACAATGGGAAGCAAGCTTGATCACAAGAGGGTAATTGATACATTATAGCGTGGTAGAGACACGGCAGGGCGCGTCACGGTAGAATCACAAAGGTCTATAAGTTTTGATGTGTAAGGCTAGTCGCATTTTTTATTTGCAAACGTGGAAAGACGCTCACCTTTGGTGTCCACTGCGTCGTTACCCAGCATGGTTCTTGCCTTTGACGCTGTGGGAATGGAGGGAGTGATATAGTGTAACCACTCGAAGCATACCACAATACCTCTGAGATGGAAACTATGGTTCCACCTTAGGGCTTACATGAAGGTTCTACATGCTAACTGGCAACTTGACGGAGAGGAAGCAGCAAATAATAGCCCAATTATGATGCAAGAAGAGCGCAGTGCTCTCTATGCTAGACCATTCGTCAACAGTTATAGTACTGAGGAAAATCATAATACATTACATATCGGTTTGAGATAGGCTCAGATAGCCATTAAATCAACGATACACGATTATGATGTTTTTTCTGAGGTATAGAGCTGCGCACATAACGCAAGAATTGCATTTATATTAGAATTTGCCATAGCCAGTTGTGCCAAACCAGCGCATGAGAGCAGAGTTCAGAAGGCGAGGGTAAGCGTTGTTTTGGTCTGTTGTGCAAAGGCTTCGAGGAGTTTCCTTATTTCGAAACCCCTCCAGCACTAAGTTCCCTTGGTCTCCTACACGGCATCAGGACGCTCAAGGTTGGGGCGCTGCGCTCACGTCACCCACGCATACCGCCCATACAAGGTATCATTCTTTTGGTCATTTATAACACTCTACCTGTTACAGTTTTGCGATTCGCTATTCTCTCATCGTCTACTTGCACACTGAAATATACCTATACTCCAAAAGCGTCAGTCAATTGATTTTGCCACATATCCCCGAAAGACGCCATTAATTATCTTCGTCTGTCGCCATCATCCACAAAGTGTCTGACACCACCCGCCATAGACCCCCATGCATTCCACTGAACGTGACGCCCTTAAGCCGGGGTGCCATCGCATGCAAGAATCGTGAGATTGACTTTGTTAGCTCTGGCGATGAGGGCATAGGGCGCACTGTGGGGCACGCGATAGGCCGGAGCGAGTCCCCGACTTCCAGTTTGATCAAGCGATTGTTAGGTTGTAGACCTACTTTGTCGTTGTCGGTATTTTCGTGATCCCCACCTCTGAGCGCATCGACGGGCACGTCCATGCAGAGCGAGACCTCGCGCAACTCGCGACAACGCCTGACGATGATATTCAAAGCATGCAAGGACACGGGGGTATTACGCAGCCCCAAGTCAAGAATGTGGAGATGAGGACATATACGAGCGAGCGTGAGGATGTCAACGTCGGTGAGGACGATGGAGGTTGTGCGGCTGGGAGAAAGTATAAGGGTACTGAGGCGCGCAAGATTCGGGTGAGCGAGTAGGGGGCGAAATTCGAAAGAGGATGGTGGAATGGATTGAAAATAGCATTGCTCGGTTATAAATATGTGCTCTAGTTTCGTGTTTGTATTGGCGAGAGAAGTGAGGAATTGGGACCAGGTGTTGGCGGAACTCTGACCTTCTGCATTGAACTGAATTGTTTTGAGGTTGCAGAATGTGATGGAAGGATTATTGGAGGAACCGAAATTGAGGATTTGGTAGGTGCGTAAGAAAGATGTGAAAAGGTCCAGATTATCATCACATAAGATGTGCAGGTGAGTGAGTGCGGAAAAGGGCTGAGGGATGTGGAGAGGTAGGGTAGGGATGCTGTCGATACCTAGCTTTAAAGTGAGGGATCGGAGAGATGGCCAGAGAGCGATGGCATTGAGGATGGTGCTCGGGACATGATGCAACTGGCAAGTCAACGAAAGTTCTGTGAGACCATCGGGATAACTGATGAGGAGGGATTCAATTTCGGAGGGATTTTTGTCGGTCATGAAGAGGCTGCCCTTGATCTCAAGAGCTTTGAGGCGAGGGGCGGAGGTAGGGAGTACAGGGATGATGGCTTTGCGAAAGGAAGATGAGATGTCGAGGGAGAGGATCTCAACTGTGGGTAAGAGAAGTTTGAGGACTGGGATACAGGTGAGAGAAGAATCACGCCATGCGAGGGATCGTAGCTTTGGAAAGAGAGGTGATTGCTTTTGAGCACATGCAATGAAGGATGGGTATGCAGTGTCATCTTGACATGGTTGGGAGAGAATCTGTATGCGGGAAGCGAGGATCAATGGACGGTATGTATCAGGTATGTTCGGATGAAGCTGGGAAGGTCTGGATGAGAGAATAAGAGGCCAGAAGTTTCTCAAGTGAGAATAAAGAAGGTTGAGTGCTAAATCGCGAAATGCACGACAAGTGAGTGCAAGTCGGAAGATGGAACGTCGATCTTGAGTTTCCGGTGACGGTATGAAATCAGGGAATAGTGGATGATATGGGGAGAAACGTCGTCGTTCATCGATGAACACAAAATAGAAAATCGCTTCCAGGATCTCACTTATGCAAAGACACTGGTGCATGTCGAGAGTGCATCAGCCACAATCACTGCAACCCGATAGAGTTGTCGCAGAGTTAGCGCTTATACCGGAATGGCAAATATGCAAATTCCTACGGGCTATCAGGCGACCGTTCGGGGTGGGCAGTGCTTTGATAGTCGAGAGCGGATTAGATACTTGCCACCTTTATAGGCTGGTTAGGGTGATTTACAAATCCGCTTTGTGTACGAATGAACCGGATTGAAGATACAAAGATGGTTCGCAACTCAAATGACAATTTGACGATTATTAGTCAGCAGCTGTCCATCTATAAACTTTGTGGGCAAAGCTTGAGATGCTCCTCACTAACGCCCGTGATCCATGATGCTTCAGCTTCATTATTAATCATTCTCATCCATCAACAAGTTTCAATCTGCAGCTCTGAACCTGGTCGATGACAAGATCAAGGGCACAGTGATATTCGTGACCCATCCATCACCCTGCCGTTCTGGGAACGGACATTGCTGGCATTGTCGAGGAACTAGGGAAGGCGTTGACAATTTCCACAAAGGCG